TAACAGTTTAGAGGATTAGCTAATCTGAACAACTCTCTTGAAAAAAAAACAAACCTAAAAATCTAAAAGTGGTGGGTAAAATCTAAAAACATACATTACTGAGCTGCTAAGCATGAAAGGAATATACCAAAAATGTATTTTTTAAAATCCTCACCTGAGGATATGTTTATTGATTTTAGAGGGAGGGAGATAGGGAGGGAGGGGGGAGGGAAGAAGGAAGAGAGACATCAATGTGAGAGAAACATTGACCATTGATCAGTTTCCTCCTACATGTTCCTTGACTGGGGATTGAACCTACAACCTGGGTATGTGTGCTGACAGGGAATCAAACACGCAACTTTTTGGTGCACCGGACAACACTCCAACCACTGAGTCACCCAGCTTGAGTGCAAAATTTATTTTGATTCACAAGTATTTCTGCAAGATCTAAATCATACAACTTATAATATGTAAATAAAGGAGATTATACATTCGTTAAGGCTTGCTACATGTAAATCTCAGTCATGACTGGACTTACCATCCATTTCTATTATATTTGGGGACATGAGTCAAGTATGACAGTGGAATCTTTGGTTCTGAAAACGTTAAATCTTTAATTGTAGTAAAACTAGAACTATATAAATACACAGTTTTATTGAGATATAGTGGGGAGATGGGTGATAAGTAAACAAACATATGAAGCACGCAGTACAAATTATTATGAGTCCTGTGAAGGAAATAGATGGTTATGAGAGAACTATTAAAATTTCTCTCAACCTTGATTTGAACAGGTATTTTAAGGAGGCAGCACTGAGACAGCAAAATCAAGAAGTGTGAGTTTCCTCTCCCTGTCTTGGCTTGGGTGGTGGGGAGTAGTTTCTTAATTGAAATGGGCTGCCTTGTGGAGAGGTGAGGTCCTTGTAACTGGAGGCATCCAAGCTCAGGCTAGAGGGAAAGCTCTTGGAAATGCTCTAAAGGGCCTTCTCGCTTGGGGTAAGGCAATTAGACTTAGGGACATTCGGTGGGTCCCCTCTTAAACACCAATATTTTATGATACTAGCATTGCTTTACTCTGACTTTCACAAGCGTACAATTTGAATTCTCTGACATTCTGAGAGTCTGATTTTAAGTAGGATCTTGAATTGCCCAGTAGAAGGGGCTAAAGCTAAGAAATCAGAAATAACCTGTTTCATATTCGGGTTCTGTCATTATTGCTTGTCTGACCTAGGATGTCACGTTTTCTCTCTGACCTTGGTTTTTTCCTCTGCAAAATGGAGATTTGAGTGCCTGCCTTACAAGGCTGCAATGAAGGTTTAAAGGTGACATATTAGGGAAGCACCTGGTTTAGTTTCCATCCCTCAGGACACCATGGAGTCTTAGACTTGGGAAGCCTCCCAGCCTCCACTGAGATCCAAACCTCACCTGGGGTGCAGTATGGTGTCCCAGTGACCTCTGGTGCCAGATTGCTTGGGCTTATTACATCATGTATCTGAGCCCCAGTTTCCTCATCTGCTTAGTGGAGACAATAACAGGACCTCCTTCTGAGGACTTTTTTAAAAAAGAATTTTTTAAATTGATTTCAGAGAGGAAGGGAGAGAAAGAAATAGAAACATCAATGATGAAAGAGAATCAGTGATTGGCTGCCTCCTGCACGCCCCCTATTGGGGATCAAGCCCCAAAACCTGGGCGTATGCCCTGACCTCCTGGTTCCTAAGTGGACACTCAATCACTGAGCCACATCAGCTGGGTTCTGGGTCTGTCTGGAAGGTTAACGGAGATGATCCAAGCAGTTAGTCCTGTTAACTTTCATTATTGCTGCCATCTTAAGGTCTAGAAGGCCAGGAGAGTAAAGAATCTCTGCTCCCTGCCTTGGAGCTTGTGCACAGAGGCCTCGCTGTCTGACCAGAGTCCTCTCCTGGACTCCTGCTCCAAAGGCTTGAGCCTGCAGGACCTTCGGTGGGGAAATCAAAACTGGTGAGCTGTAAAGTCCCCCTCCCTCCTTCCTTTTCCTCCCCACTCTCTTGTTTCTTGGTAGTGAACTGGTTTCCTCTGGAAGCTCTGACCTGAGGTTGGTGGGAAGCCAGGCCTGTGTATGTATGTGTCTGGGAGGACAATTTCTGAGCCACAGAGGGGTGGCATCAGCTGACCAGAGTGGAGGGAGAAGAAGAGCATTTTTCCAGCTACAGTGTTCCTGTGGGTAGGCCAAGAGGGACACAGCTGATTGGCACCGCCCATATCATGTGATCTTGCACATACACACTACACACACACACACACACACACACACACACACCTAACACTGTTTTCTTTGACTTTACATCCTTCTTCTCTGCTAGCCTCCTTTTATTCTGCTCACATCACACCTCTCATTCCTCTCTTCACATTACAATCACAGAAAATAGTCCCCTAGGGGAGAAACTCTGTATTAGGGCTCTTTCTCACCAAGTTTGGCTCATTAAGTCTTTTTTAAGCAGGGCAGTACGTGGGGGGACTTTTAAAGATCTGGCTCCAGGCTTTGGTCCTGGGAAAGAACGCTAACCTCCCCCTGGTCCCTTGTCCTGCCTGATCCCTCCTCCCTTCCAAAGTTCCAAAAACCAAGTAGATTGTAATTTTCATTTATCACAAGTGCTTACCCCCATTTTTCGTAAGCTGCTCTACAATCTTTAAGCACCATCATACTTTTAAAACATCAATACATAAGTAATGCTATATTTCCTTCCTACATACTTCCATCCTTCTCTCTTTCATATACTTGTTGAATATCAATGTGTATGCCAGACCCTGTGTTTATTTTATTTATTTTATTTAATTTTTAAAATATATTTTTATTGATTTCAGAGAGGAAGGGAGAGGGAGAGACAATGATGAGAGAGAGAATCATTGATCAGCTGCCTCCTGCATGCTCCACACTGGGGATTGAGCTGCATGTGCCCTGACCAGGATTCTAACAGTGACCTCCTGGTTCATAGGTCGATGTTCAACCACTGAGCAACACACGCTGGGCCCTGGGTTCATTTTATTTTTTACTGTGTCTCTCCTATTTTGACACTTATAACTATAAAACTATTTGACTGATGCTTATGTTCCACAATAATTACACTTCATGTTTTTTCAAATATGTTTTTATTGATTTCAGAGAGGAAGGGAGAGGGAGACAGAGATAGAGACATCAGTGATGACAGAGAATCATCAATCAGCCACCTCCCTCATGCCCCCCACCAGGGATCAAGCCTACAACCTGGGCAGGTGTGCAGACATGGTGAGATTTTTCTGATATGCTTCACTTCATATTTGGCAGCTGTCAAGCAGAGTGGGTCAGTCTCCAGGGACTGGTGTTAGATAGGTGTGAGTTTGAATCCCAGCTTTGCTCCCACTCACAAATGTGTGACCTGGGCCAATTAGAGCTTCTCAGCCCAGATTTCCCCTTTTGTATGTTGGGGTATTCAGAGCTATTCTGTGAGGCTACTGTAAAGATGAGATTACACATGAAAAATATTGACTTGGGCTTGGCCAGTAGTGAGCATTCAATAAATGAAAGTGATATTGATTCTATAGGATTGATAGTTTTCTTCTTAAAAATTTTATCTTTATTGTTAACAGTATTACAGATGTTAAAAGATTACAATTTTCCCCATTGACCCTCCATCCACCCCCACCTTCCCCAGGCCTTCACCACACTATGACTGTGTCCATGGGCTATGCATATATGCAAATACGTTCCCCTGGTTAATCTCTCCACACCCACCCACCCACACCCCTGCCTTCCCTCTGAGATTCAACACGTCTTCACATAGACTTAATCCTGACACATCCCTGTGAAAATAGACATTATTATGACTTCCATTTCACAGATGAGGAAACCGAGGCTTAGAGAATTGAAGTGATGAGACCAAGGTGGACATGGAACTAACAATGTCTGAGCAGGGATCCTAAACCAGGTCTCCGGACATCCAGACCCAAGAGCCCTACGTTCCAGCCGTCTCCCCTCACACCGGGACTAGTTTTGGATTCTTATCCAGACAGGTCTCTCAGTGTGGGACTTCAGGCTTTTCTGTTTTCGGCTGTGAACAGAACAGGGAGTTAATCTTCTGAACTCCCTCGGACGTGGGGGGACTGTATCCCCCCTGAACCTTAAACGGAACCAGCCGAGCTCTCATCCCAGCAGGCGTGGCCGCCAAAAGCCACGCCCACACCAAACCACGCCCACCGGCCAAAGCTCCAGACCAGCAGCGTGGGAAACCAGTTCCTCCCAAATCTCCTGCCCTAGCAACCGAACTCGCAGCTCGGTTCCTAGCTCATCAACCCAAGCCCTGAGCCTGGAGGCCAGTGACCTACAAGTGCAGCCCTGCTACAGCATCCCAAAGCTTCACACCAGGATTCCTGTGTCTTTTTCTTGTTTCTACGTACGTGAGCTATGGTCCTGGACCTATAACCGCGTCTCCTCCACTATAACCGTGTCTCCTCCACAGGATCCTAGAGCTCCGCTCCCAACACGAAGGCCTCCCACCCCCTTATGGCCCCGCTGAGCTTTCACGCCTCACTGGCTCCATGCCCAGACGCTCCCCCCACCTCCCGCTTTTTTAAAAAAAATATATTTTATTGATTTTTTACAGAGAGGAACAGATAGAGACATCGATGAGAGAGAATCTTCGACCAGTTGCCTCTTGCACACCCCCTACTGGGGATGTGCCTGCAACCAAGGTACATGCCCTTGACCGGAATCGAACCCGGGACCCTTCAGTCCGCAGGCCGATGCTCTATCCACTGAACCAAACCGGTTTCGGCCCAGAAGCCCTTTTAACCTCCAAGGGGTCCCCACACTTTACCATCTTCGGGTCCTGGCCCGCCCACCGCTAGCCCCGCCCACACGGCCCCGCCCCCTGAGGCCCCGCCCCCAGCGGTCCGGGCTGGGCTGGTGGCGGCTGGCCCGGCGGGGCCGGCTGCCCTCTGCCCTGGGCGCTCGGCGGGAGCGGGCCGGGCACCGCGGGGCCGGGCGATCGCGGCGGCCCGGGGGCTGGAAGATGGCGTCCGGCAGGCGCGCCCCGCGCACCGGGCTGCTGGACCTGCGCACCGGGGCGGGCTCGGGCGCCGGCGGCGAGCGCTGGCAGAGGGTGCTGCTCAGCCTGGCGGAGGACTCGCTGACCGTGAGCCCCGCCGACGGCGGCGAGCCCGGCGCCCCGCGGGAGGCGCAGCCCGCGCAGCTCAACGGCGCCGCGGAGCCCGGCGCGGCCGCCCCGCAGCTTCCCGAGGCGCTGCTGCTCCAGCGGCGCCGGGTGACCGTGCGCAAGGCCGACGCCGGCGGGCTGGGCATCAGCATCAAAGGTGGGCGAGGGGGCGCCGGGGGCAGAGGGGTCCTGGGGGGCTGGCAGCGCACCGGGGGCGTGGAGTTGGAGGACTCCTGTCTGGGGGTAAGAGGGGTCGAGGGGGCAGAGGGAGCCGGGGCACCAAGGTCGTCGGAGAGGGTTTTGGGTGTCCGATGTCTCCAGTCGAAAGGCACAGGTGTGGAGGGGGTGGGGGACGCCCAAGGACACGTGGGTGGGGAGTGCTGTGTGGAGGCGTAGAGAGCTGAGAGCAGTTACCACTCAGGGGTTGCATGGACATCAAGGACAAGATGGGCCCCGGGAAAGCAGAGGATGGATGGAGAAAAGGGATTGAGGCCTGGGACTGGGAGGTTCCTAGGACAGGGAGGAGGAAGTCCCCGAGACACAAACAAGGTGGGGGCTACGGGTAAGACCTGCAGTTCAAAGCACAGGGGTCAGTTGGAGACTAGGCACCTGCTGGGCTCACAGTCAGGGGGCAGGAAAAGACACACAGAAATATGAGGACCCAGTAAGGCTGTGTATCTAGGCTAAGAGGTGAGTTTGAGTTTCCTGATCTTACTAACTCCTCCTTGCACAGGACTGAGAGGGGTGGACCTAGACTTGTTACTCCTTCCTCTCTGGGAGCTCTCAGCTTCCAATATTGACAACTTTTTATAAAAAATATTTTTATTGATTTCAGAGATGAAAGGAGAGAGAGAGAGAGAGAGAGAGAGAGAGAGAGAGAGAGAGAGAGAGAGAGAGAGAAACATCAATGATGAGAGAATCATTGATCAGCTGCCTCCTGCATGCCCCACACTGGGGATTGAGCCCACAACCTGGGCATGTGCCCTGACTGGGAATCAAACCGTGAACTGATTTATAGGTCGATGCTCAACCACTGAGCCACACCAGCTGTACCTGACAGCTTTTTTTCAGGTTGCAACCAGACTGTTTTTGAGTCCAGGATCAACTGTGTGAACTCAAATCATTTCCCATCTTTGAACTCCAGTTTTCTCAACTACATAGTGAAGCTAAAAATATAGTTGTGATGTTTCTATGAGCACAGGAGCCTAGAGCATTCACCCTGCCAGCACATAGTAGGTGCTTGGTTAATTATTGCTGTTAGATGAGAGGGAAAATGGAGGCCAGGAGAGATTCCCAAAGCAACGAAAAGTAGTGCTTAAAATCCCTGCACACCCCCAGCTATTGGGTTCACAGTTACTACACAATTACTTTTCAGGGTCTCAGGCCAACTCTACTATCATTCTGGATGTGCTCCATTCCCTCTTCCTGGTGCTGGGTCTGTTCCAGTGCTTCCAGACCCTTTGGCCTGAGCGAGAGGGTAGGGATTGTGATGGCTCAGCTACCACAGTGTGCTAAGTGCTACGGCACTCTAGGCTCACGATCCACTTCATCCTGGCAACAAGTGGTAAAAGGTAGGGAGCATAGTCAATATTTTGCAGGTAAGAAACTGAGAGTCAGAAAAGGAACAATTTCCCCAGGATTCCACAGTCAGTGAGTGGCAGAGCTGGGATTTGAACCTTAATTATCAGGCCACTAGATAGTGCCCGGGGAGTTGATTCTTTCCCATGGAAGGGCAAATCCCCATGTAGTGACCCCTACAAGAGAAAAATGATAACCCAGGGAGTGGGCATCCATCCAGCCCCAAACTCAGGCCTAGGGTTAAAACAGATCAATCCAGAAGTTGTACACTTAATGTGTCAAAGCAGGAAGGAACTTAGCGTTCATATAGGGTTACACTTTGTAGATAGACTAGGAGAGAAGCAGGGACTTTCCAAGGTCACATAAAGTTACACCCTAGCACCATACTTCCAGGTGGTCGTGAAGGTACTTTTGAAGGCATCAGGGGAAGTACCAGCTCCATTTAATTCTTCATGTATGTAGACTGCACTCCTGTTACCATGATGACCTCCCTTCTATGGTCAGTCCAGCCCGAGCAGCCAGGAATGACCACAGTTCCACATTGCACTGAGGTTCCCAGTTTCAGGCCAAGCAGGGCAGATATAAATAGAAACCTTTTCCTTTCCTTGGCCTCAAGCTCTGTGCAGAACAATAAGCAAACTGTTAGGTCTGCATGGGGGTCAGGAGAAACTTCCAGTTCTACGGTTGCCACACATTTATTTTGTGATCTTGGAATAATGACCGCCCCTCTCTATGCCACTAGTTCATCTTCAGTCTTTCAGGGATGGACCCGTGGTGTGATATCTGAGGGTCCTACGTGCAGTCTGCCACAGAGTTAACAGTATTGGTTCTGAGGCTGGGACGCCTACATTCAAATACAAACTGGCTTTGCCACTTACTGACTGGGCAACCATGGGCGAGGGGCTTCTCTTCACACTTCAGCTTTCCTCATGGGAACCTGAGTGTGTCTGTGTGATTGGGGTGTTGTGAAGATGCAATGAAACACCATTGACAACATTTTGCTACTTGGTACTTGGAACTAACAGTAACTATTATTTCTTTATTTTATTTTAAAAATATATTTTATTGATTTTTTTTTTTTTTTACGGAGAGGAAGAGAGAGGGATAGAGAGTTAGAAACACCGATGAGAGAGAATCATCGATCAGCTGCCTCTTGCACACCCCCTACTAGGGATGTGTCTGCAACCAAGGTACATGCCCTTGACTGGAATCGAACCCGGGACCTTTCAGTCTGCAGGCCGATGCTCTATCCACTTAGCCAAACCGGTTTCGGCACTTTTTAAAAAATTTTATTTTAAAAGAACGTTCAAGAATTTAGCAACCAAGCAATTCAGAAAAGTGTATTAACTATTTATTTAGTTATTTATCTAGGCTTTTGAAACCTCTAGGTTTTTAAGGCCTACGTCTAGATCCTGGATTGTAAAATTTAGAGCCATGGCAATAGCTAATCCCATCATAATGCCAAATTAGGGGGTACCAATGGGTTTCCCTCACTGTGGGAAAATTGCTTAAAACCCAAAATATGTATTTAAAGAAAAATTACTGAATCCTATTGTAAATTACTCAAACACTGGTGAATACCCAAAGCATTGGACCAAAAGATCCAGTGACCGAACTGTAACATTAAGAATTTAGAAAAGGACTTTCTCAGTGAGGAAACATTCACCTGTGTTCACTCCTGTCCTAGTCCCAGAGCCTGTAGAGGTGAACCCACTGGGGAGAAGAGGAAAGTTTGTTCTAGAAGGAACTGTCTACGGGATCATAGGATTTCTAATCTTGGAAAAGGGAAGAATAAATCACTTGTTGAATGAAATGCATATCTTTTCCAGGTCTAAAGAAAAAACAAAGCATATATAATGGAATCCAACTCTCAGAAGACAGCAAAAAAGGAATTTTCAAAGAATTTCTTGTACAATCTAGCTGTTCAAATTTGCGTGTAATCATTTCAGTCTTTATAAACAAAACATTTTGAACCTTAAAAAATGACTTATTATTATTTATTTATATGTTTTAAAAAATTATCTTAAGTTTTACATATGTCTCTTTCCCCCCCAATTAACCATTCCCAAATGGACAAGCCCTCACCGCCCCAGTGTCCATTGATTATGCTAATATGCATGCATACAAGTGCTTTGGTTGACTATTATTATTATTATTATTATTTTTTTATTATTTTTTAAATATATATTTTATTGATTTTATACAGAGAGGAAGGGAGAGAGATAGCGAGCTAGAAACATTGATGAGAGAGAGTCATCGATCAGCTGCCTCTTGCAAACCCCTCACTGGGGATATGCCCGCAACCAAGGTACATGCCCTTGACCGGAATCGAACCCGGGACCTTTCAGTCCCCAAGCTGACGCTCTATCCATTGAGCCAAACCGGTCGGGCAATTATTAGTATTATTAATGTCCCAAACTTCTAAGATTCTTTGCTGAAATTCTCTTTATCCTCCCATCTCCCCTTTCCCGGCACTGGGCCGGACACTGCGGAGGCCTTCAAAAATAATTTTGCCTCCATGTGATTCCCAAGGGTTGGAGTGTCTGCCTCAGTGTCTCCCCCTTTCTGTGTCTGTGCAGGGGGCCGGGAGAACAAGATGCCTATTCTCATTTCCAAGATCTTCAAAGGCTTGGCAGCTGACCAGACAGAGGCCCTCTTTGTTGGGGATGCCATCCTGTCCGTGAACGGGGAAGACCTCTCCTCGGCCACGCATGATGAGGCGGTGCAGGTTCTGAAGAAGACCGGCAAAGAGGTGGTGCTGGAGGGTAAGCACTGGGGAGCTGAGCGTGTTCAGCTCATCCCTACCGCCTCCAGGCCTCCAGCGGGGGCGTCTGGGAAGTGGGCAGGATTGAAAACAGAAACAGGACCTGGGGACCTGCCTTGAGACTGCATGGGATGGTGGGAGAGCCAGCCCAGAGGCAGACAGACCTGGTGTTCATTTCCTCTTTCCCACTCCCTATCTCTGTGGCCTCGGATAAGTCCCCGCACTGAAGTTTCCTCATCTGCAAATCAGGTCTGTAATCTCTGCCTTGCTGGGTTGTGTGAATGGGACAAAAGGCTCACAGCAGGGTTGTCACTCAATGAGTGACTCAGGGGAAGAGAGAAGATGAGACTGGAGATGGGACTGCTAAGACTCTTTCCCGAGGAACCAGGAGAGCTCTTAAGTTCCAGTTCTTCCAGCACTCAGGGGCCCTAACACCCTGAGGCCCGTACTCATTTGGGAGAAGACAAGGATCAGAAAGGAGGTGTTTTTTGTTTTGTTTGTTTTGTGGGTGGTTCCTCTCCGCTCTCCCCTCACTGTGTGGTCTTGGATGAGACCTTTGCCTTCTCTGGGCCTCCGTTTCCCCGTTGGCTGTTACAGGCCTCTTGCTGTGGTTGTTGCATATCTTCCTTTTGCCATTTCTCTCAAGAGATTTCTGCTTTGCTCAGCCCTTTCCTCAAACTCCAGTCTGCAGTTTCCGGAAGTCGTGGGGGCCTGAGGAATGTGTCTGGCTCACGGCCCAGAACAGGCCCAGGGAGGTGGCGGGGGCTGATGGAGAATGCCGTGCTGAGCTGAGCCCCAGCCCAGATCCTGACACGTTGCCTTTGTCTCCCCAAATGGGTCTGTAAGAGGCCACAGAAATAAACAGCGTTGGGTCTCTGGGTGATCTTTGGCATTCTTGTTCTCTCTCAGTTTTTATTTTTAATATTTTTAATTGATTTTTTTTTAGAGCGAGAGGAAAAGAAAAAGAGGGGGAGAGAGAGAGAGAGAGAGAGAGAGAGAGAGAGAGAGAGAGAGAGAGAGAGAGAGAGAGAGAGAGAAACATTGTTGTGAGAGAGCTACCTTTTGCACTTGTCCCGACCTGGGATTGAACACACAACCTGGGTATGTGCCATTACCGGAATCCAACCTGCCACCTTTTGGTTCATTGGACGACATGCCAACCAACCAAGCCACATGGGCCGGGGCTCTCTTAGTTTTGTTTGACTTTTATATTTTAGGTGTATCTATTTAAATGCTACTGGTGCAGTTTTTATTTTTATTTTTTGGTGCCCTTTTAACATATACGATGTATTTATTTATTTAGAGAGTAAGTTTAGTAAAGCTGGGGACAGTGAAACAAGGAAGAGCCTGGGACAGAAGAAGCAACAGGAGAGAGACCAGGTGGGGCTGCTTCCTTCTCTAGAAACGTTAAGGGAAAGCAGTGAGCAAAGGCGGGGCTTCTGTCAGCTCACTGGAGGGTCAGAGAAAAGGGGGCCCTGGGGACAGGTTCTGGGGGTTAGCCCACTGCTCCCCTGGTTGCAGGTCTATGGGGACTCTTCGAGTTTAGGTGATGCATGCCTGTGGGGGAAGGACTGGAGGAAGGGAAAGGCGCCGAGTGCTCCTAGGAGGGAGAGCGCGCCTGCAGTGTATATTTTTAAAAAGCTGACGCTGCAGTGTTGGTCCCTAAAAGCTTAAGGACATCAATCATATTTTAACAGCAAAGTTACATTAATGATATGGCTATAAGATACTTTTTCTCCCAGATGTCTTATTACTAGCCTCTAATGCAATTTGAAACAGTTGAAATTTATCACACTGTCATATTTTGGTTGACTTGAAAAGCTCTTTTAGTTTTTGCTGTTTGAAAGTCTAGCCTATAGATGGCAAAATTTCTACCAAAGACACATTTCTAATCCACACGGAGGTCCCTCTCAGCCCCTCATCTTTGGGTTGAGAATGTCTCTATTTGGGTTCTCAGTGTGTATCATTCTGAAAGGTAGCATCTCTGAGTGTTAGATGCTTGAAGCATCTCCTGGTTTAGGAGGTACTAGTAATATCCAAACCTTCCATCTAACTCATTTACTCTATTCCTTTTTCACTAAGACAAGAAACATTTGTAGAGACCTACTGTGCACCTGGTTGCAGAGCATTGAGTTAGAAGCTGAACTAGACCCTGGCTTCTCCTGAAGGAGCTCATCATCTGTTAGGAGAGATAAAACATAAGCACTGTCTCTTCTACATAAACTGTGTTTTTTTTTTTTGTTTTTTTTTTTTAATATATTTTATTGATTTTTCACAGAGAGGAAGAGAGAGGGATAGAGAGTTAGAAACATCGATGAGAGAGAATCACCGATCAGCTGCCTCTTGCACACCCTCTACTGCGGATGTGCCCGCAACCAAGGTACATGCATTTGACCCGAATCGAACCCGGGACCTTTCATTCCGCAGGCCGATGCTCTATCCACTGAGCCAAACCGGTCCCAGCTACATAAACTGTTTAAAAATCAGTTTCTAAACTCCTGTCCGCTTTGTGGTGAATCTCTGGCCTTGGTAAGACCTTTGCTGCTTCTCCGAGCCTCAGTTTCCATATTGGCTAGGGTTAGATTAGATCAGAGATAACCAATAACTTTCATTATGAATGCCACCTTCTCTGGTGGTCCCTAGGAGTTCCATATGTAGGATTGGGAGGTCTTGTCTGGACTCGGCAGAAAGGAGCTGGAATTGATTAATAAGGTCTACCATGGATATGGCAAGGAAGAGAAGTAACCTGTGTGCCATCCCAGGATTGAGGGTCTCTAGTGCTATGTTCTCTGAGACTTTTATAGGGCAAGATCTTTCCTTGGCAAATCATGCTTCAGGTCTCCAGGTGGAGCTTGGCCTCTCTCTTAAAAAAAAAAAAAAAAAAAAAAATATATATATATATATATATATATATATATATATATATATTTAATTGTTATCAGAGAGGAAGGGAGAGGGAGAGATACAGAAACATTAATGATGAGAGAGAACCATTAATCAGCTTCCTCCTGCCAGGAATCGAGCCCCAAATCCAGGCATGTGCCCCAACCCTGGAATCAAACTGTAACCTCCTGATTCATAGGTCAACACTCAACCATTGAGCCATACTGGCCTGGCAAGCTTGGCCTCTCTGTTGCCCAGTATAGAATTTGGCATAATAGGTACTTTATAAATGTTAGTAACTCCCCTCTTGTTTCACTGCATTTTTATAGAATTGATATTATTTTCTCAAATGTTTAGTAGCATTCTCCAGGGAAGCCACCTTTATAGAAAGGTTTTTAACTCAGCTTTTAATGTTGTTAATAGGGTTATTTAGAGGATCTACTTTTTTTTTTTTTTTTAAATATATTTTATTGATTTTTTACAGAGAGGGAGAGAGATACAGAGTTAGAAACATCAATGAGAGAGAGTCATCGATCAGCTGCCTCTTGCACGCCCCCTACTGGGGATATGCCTGCAACCAAGGTACATGCCCTTGGCTGGAATCGAACCCGGGACCCTTCAGTCCCCAAGCCGACGCTCTATCCATTGAGCCAAACCGGTCCCGGCTACTTTTTTTTTTTTTCTTTTTTTTTTTTCTTGATGAGCATTGATAGTTTTTGTCTTTCAAGGAATTTGTCCTTTTCATCCAAGGTGTCAGATTTATCGACATAACAGTCATTTCTTATTTCTGCCTTTTGGATGAGAGCCCTCTTTTGCTTTCTCTTTTTCTCCCCTCCCTTTAGGCTGCTCTGCTTGCTCAGTGGTTTTGAAGGCACTTATTGGGGAGACAGCTGAGCAAACCTACCAGGTCCCCGACATGTCACACATGCTGAGATAGGGTCTGCCAGGGATGGGAGGAGGAAGTGGTTTCTTCTCTGTGGGTTGTCAGGAAAGACTTCCTGGAGAAGGGGATGCTGCCAGTTTATGAGCAATAAGCAGAGGCGAGTACGGGGTGGAGGAAGGCGTTCCAGGCAGGGGAATTGTGTGAGCAAAACCATAGAGGTGTAAAATGACTTGACTTTAACAATTCAGCTTTATCTGAATCTATGGCATGAGGAAAGAAGTGAAAAAAAGAGGCTAACTACTGCCTAAGTCAGGGGCTCAGCTGAGCATCAGCAACCCTAGTCTGCCTTCTGTACCTTTTCCTCTGGGAGGTCAGGGGCTTGCACAAATGTCTTGAACCTGTTCTCAGTCGCACGGATGTGTTTGTGACCAGTCTGGGCCCAAGCTGGCAGCCAACAGACCTCTGCCTGCTACTTAGAGAGGCCCATTGTGTGCACAGACCTGGAGCCAGGGCCAGCCTGGGCCCTTGGAGACTAAGTCTGTGGGAAAAGAGGAACAGCCGAATGCCTCCCCTCTCTCCACCTCCAGTGTGGCTGGCAAGACAGAGTCAACAGTGAGCTTGCGATGCATTAAAATATAATACTAAAGGACAGTGTAAATTAATGAAGTCAATTTTGGTACTTTGTACAAAGGGGAGGTGCATTCCACATAAAGATCAGGCTTTTAAAAGATACAGGAATAGCCCTAGCTGATTTGGCTCAGTGGATAGAGCATTGGCCTGTGGAACTGAAGGGTCCCAGGTTCGATTCTGAGTTTTGGGCTCGATCTCCAGTAGGGGCAACCAATCAATGATTCATTCTCATCATTGATGTTTCTCTCTCTCTCTCTCTCTCTCTCTCTCTCTCTCTCTCTCTCTCTCTCTCTCCCTTCCTCTCTGAAATCAATAAAAATATATTTTTGAAAAAGTCTCCTTTAAAAATAAATTAAAGACACAGGAATAGAGTAACACTTATCTAAAAGGCACATACAGTAATAGGAATTTCTATAATCCCTGTTACAGCCAAAGTCACCAAGGTTTGTTGAGAATAAATAACTTTCTTCGAGTCACCCAACCAATAAATTGGCAGACTCAGAATTGAAACCAAGGTCAGTTTGGTTGCAGAGGCCACCATTGCCTCAGCCTTGAATAATACCTACCTTGTATTGTTTGCAAGATTAAAAAATAATACATGTAAA